GCATTCATTTGCAGTTTTTTTTTCTAATATTAATATCTGCAGTTGCAAACAANTTTTGGTTGGTTGTGTAATCACAATCAAGTCTTGATCAAAACTGCCGACAAAATACATTACCAGCAAAACAACAACAACCAAAAAACAAAAAAAAAGACCGAATCAACGAAAAACGAAAATAAAAAAGCAAACAAATTTTACCATGCGTCATTCACCCGTAGTGAATAGAGATAGAATTCCTATAGAATTTTTATATATAGAGAGAGAATTCACGAAGGCCTTTAGGTTAACAAAATATTAATGAAGAAGAGGAATTCTGTTTTTCTTTCTGTATGATTATTCTGTATGATGATTCCTTTTTTTCATTATTCTGAATAGAGAAAAATTGTCATGATGATGATGATGATAGTGCGCTGAAATGAATCAGAAGAGGTGAAAAGAAAATGAAAAAAACCAATTCATTTATTCAGTTTGTGTTTCATAACCATAACAATTCAAGAATGCAACCAAAGAATTCAGAATCGAAATAGAATCGAAGAAGAAGAACCATATATGAAAAACCGGTAAAATAGGGAAAGAAGAAAAAAAGCATATTTTGTCAAAGAATTCAAGAATTTCCAACAACAACCATCTCATCTACCTACACATTTTGATGATATTTTTCTGATTGAATGAATTTCTCTCTCTCAATGATAACCCGAGAGAAAAAATTGCGAAAAAACCGAACAAATTGGTAACCTTAACACCAACCAACCAACCATGCTCTATATATAAATTAGGAAAACAAAAAAAAAAAACAAACAAAAATCCAATACAATCACCTCAACCACCCCCATACATATTTTTTTTTCATTCATTACTTTTACATTTCTGTTTGGTTTTGTTTTGGTTTTGTTCGCTTAATGATAATTACATTTTAATCAAATTGAATATCGATTGATTTCTCTCTATCATTTCTCATTTCTCTTATCAGTATTTTTTTTCATTGAAAATTTCGCCAATTTCAACACAAATAACGATTGTCATACACGAACCATATTCTTGTTATACAGACATATAGACAAACTCATAACGTTTGCATAGCCGGTATGCAATCAAATAAAAAAAAAAACATTTGACATTTTATTACATTAAAATGATACAGGTTTTCTTTTGAACAAAAAATCATTAAAAACGGTAACAAAATGAATATTTTTAACGAAAAAAATTTCAAAAATTCTTTTTCATTTTTTATGATGATGATGTTTAAATTGAATAAAATTTTATGGATGTTTTCATGAATGGAGAACATAGTGTTAATTTTATTATTTCCATTATATTTTTGTTTCTTTTTTTTATTTGATTTACGTGTCTATCGTTCGTCGGAATTCAATCTGTCGTAATAAGTTTTTTGTTTTGTTTTATTTCTTTGAATTTCAAACATAAACACATTGTTCAATTCTGAATGAAATTATCTTATTTTACGACCAAAAAAAGACACTGATTATTTGGAATTTTTTAAAAAACTTTTCGAAAAACAAAACAAAACAAACACTATGCTATGATTTTCCATAGAATTCATGGGGAAAATCATCAATGGATGCTGCAAACCAAACTGTACACCCACTATATCATCATCAATACCACCACGAATACACGACACATGAAGAATATTCTTTTAATGAAAAGGCCATTATTAGATTATAAAAATGTCTAATAATAATGATTATTATTAATAACAAACGAATGAACGAAAAGCATCATTTTGGCTGCAAACAATGGAAGAAGAATAGAATTAGTTTTTATTCAGTTCAATGAACAATTCAATGAATGTCTTTGTGTCTTTTTTGTTATTACATTAGTATTTTCAAGTTGTTTTTGGTAGTCCATTGAATGGTTTAATGGTTTAATGATTAGAAACGAAGAAGAAGAAGTCATTATCATTATTGGATTGTTTTTTCCAATGAAAAACAGAAGCCCGGTATTATCATCATTTTAATACCCCGTGTGTGTGAGATTATTATTTATTGGAATTTCCAATTTTTCAGTTAAAAATTTCAGAAAAAAACTTTTGGAATTTTCCAAGAAACTTTATGGAAACGGAAATGAGAAATTTTTCGGTAAAAAGCATGTAAACCGGGGAGAAAAATTTCTTCAATTTTTTTTGGTTTAATTTTGGTTGTTTTTTCGGTACCGGCAAAACAAAATCCGATTAAAATTCATTGAATGAAACAACAACTAGCAAAAGAAAAAACATGATGTGAGAAATAAACATCCGAAAACAAAAAAACCAGAAAACACAGAGAATTTTGGCACAACAAGAATAAATTTTCTACTTTGCTACATTTTTCTTTCTTCTTTTTTTCTACGAAAAAAAAACAATGCACTCAATGCATTATTTTTGTATGTCCTTGTTTTTGGTTGTTTATCCAAACAGAATCTTAATGTGTAACCAAATTAAAGATGACATAAACAATGAGAGGGAGTGAGAGAGAGATTGTGAGACATAAACAGAATATCAAAACAAAACAAGAAAAAAATTCAAGTCAAGGATCATTATTATCAATTGAAATGAATTTTTTTCTATATAGAGAATTTCATTCAGAATATTTTTTCCAAAAAAAAAAACAAAGTTTTTTTTAAAAGAAAAAAAAGCTGATAAATTTTTTTTTCGTTATAAAGAGGTTAATGTCATTGAATGAATGAATAAATGAAAACTAAATGTACATCATTATTATCAATGGGAATACCAAAAAAACAAAAAAAAACCAAAACAAAACAAACATTAACAATCAATATTAATCGATTTTTGATCAACATCATTTTACTACGCGATGGGAACCTTGTTTTGTTTGGCTGTTGTTGTTTTGGTTCCATTAGACCAGATAATATGATTAGAAAGTATCATTTTTTTACCCTCGAACTTTTTTTTTCGGAGAAGAACCAAGTTTCTTTTTGACAAATAACAGATTCATATTATGCATAGGTAGATGGATGGATGTTTTACACATTTTTCCACGTTTTGTGAATAAATAGATAAAAGCCATTTTCATTTGTTCGTGCGTGCGTGTATAGGAGGAAGAACGAAAACAAAGTTTTCGCTTGTTTCTTTTTTATTAGATGTTTTTGCGAATTTCCAACGAAAAAAAAAATCTAATCATTTGAACAGAATTCACCAAAATTGATACAAATAAAAACGTTGAATCAATTGAAATCAAATGGAGAAGTGAATCTAATGTTGTTTTAATGCAATTTCTGTTTCTGTTTCAAAAAACTTTCTGTTTTTTCTGATTACGACTTGAGGACATTTTTTTTTGTTTCAAAAAGATTAAATATCACCCAAAACACAAATGTAAATACAGAAAAGGATGATGATCTAGGAAAAGTTTCAAATCAAAAAATGAAATTCTGTACAGAATTTTTTGGTTTTGTTTTTTGTTGTCATGTTTTGTGTGTGTGTGTGTGTTTGGCTTACAAAATGATTTTTCTGTTTTGTTTTTTCTGTTTTTCTGCTGTTTTTGAATGATTTTCGTTTAAAGTTTTTTCCCATTAAAATGTTTTTTATCGGGAAAAAAAGCGAAAAATAATTGTTGTTGTTGTTGTTATTCTGAAATCTGAAACAATCATCGAATCCCCCGAACAACAACAACGAAAAGTTTTCATTTGGGGGGGGGAAAAAGAAGATAAAATGTTTTCCCAGAATAATAAATGTTTTCGATAAAAAGGGGACATTATGATATATACTTTCTCTCCGCGTAATTAAAATGGGGGAAACTTTTCGAAAACACACACACACACAATAGAATGACCAAAACAAAACAAAAAAATGACGGGAAAGTTTTCTTTAGAATTTTTTTTTCTGTTTGTTTTCATCAAGGTTCCATCACCACTAATCACATATCATTAACCAATACCAGTAACGGAAATGAAATTTTTTTTTTGTTGTTTTGAAAACCAAAACAAAAGAATTTAACCATTAAGCAGACAACAATAGAGAGAGAGAGAGAGAGAGAAATCAATAATGATCGAAATTTACTTTTTTTAGTGAAACGGAAATATGATGAAATTTGATATGAAAGACTCCGATCGCCACAGAATATTCTTATAGAATATTCTTGCGTCCAAAGTATTAAAGAATAATAACAGGAGGGGGGAAAATTGTTGTTATATATGCTGAATCAGATTCTGTCAATTATATTTGATTGTTTGCCGCTGTGTTATTGTTGTTGCTATGATGATGATTATGATGATAAGAATTTTCTTTTCTTTATTCTTGAATTTTATTTATGCAACAAAAATTCTCTAACTAAAAAAGTGACAGACATCACACACACATTCTTGCCACGAATATTCCTGACATTCATAATTTGTTTTTATTTCATTTCATTTCTAAGTTTGTTTGGACATGCAGTTGTCCAATTTTATTAGGTCTGTATAAGTTGAAATTATTATTGGGTTTTTTCTTATTTGGCAAAAAACGATTCGAAAATCAAATGAAATGAAATTAATTTCATTAAAAAAAATAAGGGTTGATTGATTGATTGATTGAT